TGGCTTCCCGTCTGGGGCTAGGGGCGCCGGGCTGAGCGACGGTGAGGAGGGGAGAAGAGACTCCAAGCCACACCCCCGTCCCCCAAGGGCCGGGGCCGCGCACACTCCCCTCATCCCACCAGCACCAATGGTCCAGCTGCGCGGGGTTGGCGAGGGCGGGGGGTGCAGAGATGAGCGAGGTCATTGGCTGCCTCGGAGGGATCCCCGTTGGGCCACAGTCGCCCATTGGTTACTACCCAGCGTTCGCTGGACTCGGAGCCACTGAGACCACCCCTGTCCGTGCGGTTCCGGTTGTTGGTCCTCCGCGGGGGGCCGAGGCCAGCTAGCGCAGAGGTGCCTGTTCGTCGTTGGGTGACCTCCCTCACCCCTCAGTCCCGGCCCAGGATTATCAGGGAGCTAGCGACCTATGCCCTGGGGACTGCCCAGGGGTTCTCTGAGTATGCGCAGGCTGCAAGGGGAGGAGGTGGCTGAAGCCCAGCCAGAGAACTGAGACCGGGGTTGGGTCAGGATAAGGCAGAAGCTACTGCTCTGCCTTCCTTTCCCCACAACCCCCAAAGGGGGCAGTCCGGGGTTGGGGAAGCAAGGGAGAAGCAAGGAAAAAGAGCGCCCTGGGCACGTTTGCAGACGACCACACACATCATGTGACACAGATGTACTCAGATGGCTCTGTGTTTTCGTGCACATGTGTGCTTCGATGCATGGATCCATGTGCACAGAGACTGGCATGTGGGTGTGTACTTGCACACAGACATAACACGTGGGTTCGGGTGGACATCCGAGTAATTATACCCAAGTATAGGCACGTGTACAAGTTCGTACAGCACACATGCCCACGGACACTCAGCTGATAACTCCACATATATGCATGTGGACACACCGCCAGCCCGCTCCCGACGGGCACCTCCACCCCAAGGCTGTATAATCTCCTTGCATTCAGTGGGTCTGCGTCGCCCCTTCCTGTTAAACCTAACCCAAGGCAAAGCTACATTGTACGTGTGGGTCTTTCATGCAAAACACTTTACAGAGACAAATAACAGCAGAGGGAGAGACAAATTAAGAGGTGTAATAGGCAAGAGGGAAAAGATCTGCTTTCAGCTGCAATTGAAAATGAAATGCAGCGTTGACGAGACAGAAAATACTGCAGGGAGGCCTTTCCCAGCAGAAGCGGCCCAGGCACGCTCTCACCTCATAAATCTCACTTCCTCCTGGAGGCCTGCTTCAGATGGACTGCCGGGACTCAGACATTCTTCTGCCTCTGGCCAGGCCACTGACAGCAGGCTCGACCTGATAATTAAATACCCCCCGGCATGTAAATTTTAACAGAAAATAAAAGGCTAGAGACTTGTGGGTAACAGGTACAAATATTTCGGTCAATGGAGAGGAATAATCTCTCCCAACCCCAACAAACACGTGCAGCTTAAATGTCAAACGGGAGTCAGATGTTTCTGTCACTTGTGAGTTTGGTCGGGAGGAGTCAGTTCGCTGGATCCGGCTGTGAACATCAGAGATTGCGCGTGGGACCACTCGGATGTGGGGAGCCAGAGACCTGGCCTGGCCTTTCCCACATCTTCATGATGCAAGCATCTCTCTAGGATAGGCAGGCTTGTCTTCAGAGAGCCAGGCAGGACCCAGTGCCCACTGGAGGTGCTGAGAATGTCGGGAGTCACCATCCAGACCTCTGTGGAGGTAGGGAGGGGAGGAAAGCAGAGCTGAGTCGCAGAGGGACCTGTCTGTCTGAACTGCGTGGCGCTGTGATGTGATACTCGGCCGCCCTCTGGCCGGCTCAGAGAGGCTGAGCAGAAAGTGAGCCTGAGCTCGGGCCAGTTCTTTCATTCTTTCTTTTTTTTAGTGAGATTTTTTTGCTATAGGGTGAGTGCACTCACTGGAGAGACAGAGACAGAAAGCAAGAAATCAGCCCCCAGGGGGATGACCACCTGCAATCCCTTCTGCAATCCATTCTCTTCTGGAATTTCAGCATGCATGCACACACACCTGGCATGAGTTTTAAGCCGTGGGGCCCCAGGACTCGAACTGCAATCATTTACATGGGAGTCCAGCAACGTAACCATTACGCCATCTGCTGGTCCCATGCCATTTCGAACTGACGTTGTATTTGTGGTCACACCAACAGTGATACCATGACTTTACAACCCCCTAGCAAGCCCTCGGAGGCCCGGAGGTCCCCCCGTCTGCTAGCCCCAGGTCTCACCTGACTGTGCCCTGAGCTTCCACTGGTGAAGTGCTGTCCCACCACCAACACTGCACGGAGCTCTGGGTCCTAGTAGGCGACTAAACTAATGAACGACTGGATTTCCATCTCACAGTGAGGAAACTGAGGATCACAAATAAACTAACTTTGTTTTGTTTTGTTTTAATTTGCCAGAGGGTGCCTGCGCCCACCGAGGAGGGGAAAACAGAGGGAGAAAGCACCCCCTAGGGGGATAATCATGCCACAACCCCTTCTCCATCCTTTGGGATTTGGGCATGCACATGCACGTGCCCCGTGTGGGAGCCAGCTACCTTACCCGTCATGTGACTGGCTGGCCTACAGGCCAGAACGTATTGTCTCACTTACTTTCCAGAGCAATCGTGTGTGGTGGATACTGCTAGAGAGCCCATGGCCTTTCCAGAGAGAGAGAGAAAGCATCCCTCCATGAGGCGTGGCCTTGCCACAGCCCCTTCTCCCCCATTTCTCCCTCCTGCCAGGATTTGGGCCAGGCACACACACACGCCTGGCATGTTTTTCAAGCTACCAGGGCCGGGATTTGAATGGTGGTCGGTCATGTGGGCTTTGACTCCCTAGCCATTGGGTGACAGGGTCGGCCCTGTGGAAGACATTAGGCACTCCATTTTACAGGTAAGAATACCAAGGCTTAGAGAGAGTTGAGGTAAGTTTATGAGCATCTGTATTAGGGTTCTCCAGGAAAACAGAACCAACAGGATGTAGAGATATACAAAGATCTCTCTCTCTCTCTCTCTCTCTCTCTCTATATATATATATATATATACACACACACACACACACACACACACACACACACACACACACATAAATGTATCCCAGTTACACAGATGGTGACGCTGAGGCTCAGAGCTGCGACACGACTTGTCCAAAATCACACAGGGAATCATTTGCAAATATGATAGTAAACCATCTAATCCCAGAATCTATTATTCTTTGTATTATTTTATTATGATTATGTTTTTGGAGAGATTTTTGCTATGGGGCACTTGTGCTAGTCAGAAAGACAGAGAGAGACAGAGAGATAGAAAGTGAGAAATCCCCCTCAATCTCTTCTCCTCCATTCTCCTCTCGGGATCTAGGGCATGCAAACACATGCGCCTGGTGCGAGTTTAAGCCACCGGGTCCCGCGGTCGGCTACATGGGCATCCAGTGATGTACCATTACACCACCTGCTGGTCCCATGTTTTGTGTTATTAAAAACTACTGAGATTCATGGGGCACTCACTGTGTAGCAGGCCCTTTTAAAAGCACGTGGTGGGGTTACCAGCAGGTGGCGTGGTGGTTAAGGTGCTGGAGTCCCACATGACTGAACACAGTTTGAGTCTCGGACCGGTGGCTTGCATGTGTGCGTGCATGCCCACAATCCCCAGAGGAGAAGGAACTATGGCGTGGCCATCCCCTCTGGGGGTGATTTCTCGCTTTCCCTCTCACTGTCTCTCTCTGTCTCTTGCCGGCGAGCTCACGCACCCTATTGGCAAAAGTCTGAAAAAAAAAAAAAAAAAGCCTGTGAGCAGAACTAAATCATTTGTTCCTTACGCCCACCCACGAGACAGGTATGCCATCTCCGACTTCTGCGGAAGAGGACTGCACAGCATGGCAGGTTAAGGCGCTTCCCAGTGTCACCAGCCGGCCGTGGCGGGGCACTGAGCCCGGTTGGTGTCTTTCGGAGCCCACTGCTGTCCAGAGAGCGGTGCGGAAGGAGGTCGGAGCCGGGCAAGGACACTGGGCTCGTTGGGGGATCACACGAGGTCAGTGGGCCAGCACCAGCATGTCAAAGGCACCTGCTGTGCTCTCTGCACTACGCTAGGCTCTGGGACACAGTGTGCACACCCAGATTGTCCCGTTATGGAGTCTGCAGGGAA